ACATCTCGCGAGAACCGTGGAGATCATGCAAGATGCTCCTACGGGGTACCTCGATTCAAAACAGGAACCCGGTTGTCCAGGATTTCTTCAACTTTGATTAGGGATCTCAGATTCCATCTAGTAATTCTGAAAGTTTCCTGAAGAGCTTCCAAAATCCACAGCGACAAACCTGAAAGCCTGAACTCCACAGGCCTGTTTAAGCCCCAGAAGCCCTAATCCCAACACCGAAACTTCTGTCCTCCTCATAGGGCGGCATCGAAGACTCAGGGGAAGAGGAGATGTAGACCCTGGTGACCTTCCAACCATACGGTTAGGATTTGAGGGTTTGGGGTTTAGTCAGTTTAGTAGCAAAACTTCAGGGGCTTCGGTTCAGGGCCTTCGGATCTGATGTTTCACGGTCATCGGGGTCCGGGTCTTGCTGGGTTCAGGGGGTCCGGGTATTCAGGCTTAAGGGGCTAGGGCTTAAGTTTCAGATTGCAACGCAAACCTGGAACCCTGCACGCCCATTGGCGCTATCTCATCTTATGTTATGTCATGATCAGATGTAATGTTGTATTGTATTCTGCTGTGATATTGTGTAATATTAGTAATATTGCAATAAGCATCGTACTATACTGTAGTATACACTACCATATTCTGATGTGCTGCATTGTGATAGGTTATACCATTCCTTGACATTCCTTGACGAAAGGGCATGTGACACATGATCCAGCAGCGCTGGTACGAGGCCAAGTCTTACGGATAGCTAAGTTGTTTCGATCGCCAATCTCCAAGCCTTGCATGCTGAGAAAAAGATATGGTTTGAAGCCCCCTGACAAACCGGGGTGGGTGGATGGGAGGGCACTCATCACGTCTGCGAGATGAAAACCAGACTCCCGCTCCCGGTACAGTGCGTCGCACACAATCACCATGTGACATAAAGAGTCCAACATCAGCAGACACTGGCAGACTGGCAGCAAACTCCCGATCTAACAGATTGGCGCAGACACACGTGCAAGTGACTGCCAGTGCCGTGGCGATAGCTCCAGCAGTGGCATCAGCGCAGTAGCAGGAGCAGCAGCAGTAGTACGAGGAATGGGAGGAGCATTCGTTGTCGTTGTCGCAATTTTGTTGTGCAATATCACATAACAGTATATCATGCTATATAGTAATACAGCATTGCAGTATGTTATTTATTCTCGTGCTAAAACTTACGATGCCGTTTTAAACTACATCAAATTGCAGTCTATATTGAAACTAACCGATGAATCAATAATATGTTATTTTGTACCTGGCTGCATTGCGCTAATCTATGTTCTACTATGCTACATGTTGTTATGTTGGCGGGTACTATCTTGTATTATACTCTGTTCTATTATAGTCCACTGTATTGTGTTTTACTATATTACATTTTAATGCCTTCTACTATGCTTTACTACGAAGTGAAATGTTACATTCTACTTTCTCTGCTATATCAATGTGGAATATGTTTTTCTAAGTTATACCCATTGAGTTTATGCCGTGTTATGGTCTGTTATTTGCTGCTTAGACCATTTTATGTTAGACTATACACTATAGCATATTCGATTACATGGCATCATAACATACTACATTCCGGTATGTGGTAGCATACCCTAAACCGTATGTTATCACATCCCACGTCGGGCCCTGCCTTCTCGGCTGGGATTGCGGTGGCCGAAGCCGGCGGCACTGCAACGCTTGGGGGGCATCTGCAGGGCTCCGGTGGTCTCTCCTCGCAGGGCAAGATCAAAGAACTAGAGCTTTACAACGTTATGGCCAAGCTTTCAAAATCCATCCCATTCGCCCGGTTCAACATTCACATACTTACAACGTCTTCGAGAAAGCAACGGCAGCTGCAATTTGCTCGGTGGAGCACCGTCGTATAGATTCAGTAGCAGTGCTGACAATATGTCAACTGCTGTCAAACAAGCAATTTCTTAAGTACAATGGAAGCACAGAGAAATCAACGTGAAGGCCAGCGATTCTCGTGATGTAAACTTGTTCACACAGCCTTGTTGGACACATGTACGAAACCACCAAGATAGCAACCCCTCGTTTGTGCATCCAAGTGTACAAGCATATCTGTGCCTATGTGAACCTATCTGACGGTCTGTTGGTCTGTCTGTTCTTCCGTCTTTGAACGGTGACACATAGACAGTAAAGCATCCGCAGGCAACCACACACTAACCCAAAGCCGAAGGTTCTTCACATGCCATCCCCTTTCAGCTTCACATCCACCCGGCCTGGAAGCCGGAATCAAGCACCGCAAGACAGCGATACAATGCAAACGCGAATACTAATGATAGAGTAGGCAGGCATGGAACAATAAATGACACCGTATCATAACATGACGCTCGTCCAAGCATACACCGTGTCTTATCTACGATCACTTTCTGTCACATGCAAACGCATTCTCTCGAACAGTTCGGGAATATGCCTACATGAGCATCTAATCTATCACCGCATCAGCGTCTACAGAGAGTAGAGCTCAGCAGGGCAACTTCGTGCAGAACCCGGTACCGCCCTCAAGCAACGATGCTGCCTAATCCTCAACTGCAATCCATTGAAAGTCGAGGCGAGGAAGCCTAATGATCTAGGACACCACCACGGACTGACGAAATCCTCACAAGGCCTAGTCTGGGTTTAGGGCTTCCTGAACCCTAAGGAACGGAACCTACCTTTTAGGGTTCCCCCATATGATTTCTTCATATAAGTCCTTAAAAAGGTAGGTTCTTTGGGGTTAAGGTATGATTATAATATGACCCTTAGGGTTCCGTTATAATATGACCCTTAGGGTTCCGTTATAATTATAAAGCTACAATCAGATACGTACCCAAAACGGGGTTACAGGAAACTCCAGCCTGCACAAGATTCACCGCTCCAAAAGTCTTCAACTTCTTCCCTCTGCGACTATCATAGGGATCCTTAGGGGTGTAGGGGGGAGGGGTGTAGGGGACTATATTTCCTGAAATAGGCCTTATTAGTCCTTATTATGGGCCTTAAGGCCCCCTACCCCCCCTCCCCCTACACCCCTAAGGATCCCTATGAGACTATGGAGACTCCGAAACCCCGAGCTTCAGAACCCTGAGCGGGAAGGGGCTAGGAGTTCAGGGCTCAGGGGTTTCCGGGTTTAGGGGTTTAGGACTTTGGGGTTTAGGTTTTAGGGTTTGGGGGTTTTTAGGGAAGGACAAGAAAGCTAGACCCTTTCAACTGAAAGGGCTTGGGGTTTAGGGTTGAGGATTCAGGGTTATATAGGATTCTCCTTCTCCTTCGCTCGCTTGTTCTTCGGAGGGGGCAGCTTCCTTTTCTTCCTCGAGGTGCGTGAGGTTGGCCTTGAACGGGAGCTTTGCAGGAATTGGATTTGGGGGCCTGCTTTCAAGGTTACCTTAACCCCACTGATTATCCTACCTCTTTAGGGGCTTAAACAAGGAAATCATATCAAGGAACCCTTCAAGGTAGGTTTTTGCGTCGTAGGCTTTAGGTTTCAGGGGGCAGGCTGAGTTTGGAGGTGGGTCGGACTTGAACCCTAAACCTCTAAACCCTAAACCCTTAAACCTCCAAACCCTGAACCCCTAAACCGCTAAACCCCAAACCCTCATTCCTGAACTTTTCGGCTTAAGGATATTTCCTCGCCCCCGCGAAGCACAACAAAAGGATGGTCATGGCCTTTTCGCAGTTTTCCCTAACCACGCAAAAATCTGATCTAGGGGTTTACCTTAACCCTGAAGAACCTACCTTTTTAGGGTTCCCTATTATGATTTCCTTATATAAGTCCTTAAAAAGGTAGGTTCTTCAGGGCTCAGGTAGGGTTTAGGGACAGAATGCTTCCTTGTGTTCAGGCTGGGAGACTAGCCCAAGATCCCCACCGACAGCGTACGCATAACAATCGGAGCGGCACGTGATGGAACCCTGAGGAAGACAGGATTCTCTTGCAAAAAGGCCTAAGGAATACATTCATGAATTATTTGGGCTCCTACATAAATTCATTGAGCTTTCAGAACCGGCCCCGAAACGACAAACCCCAAGCCTAAACCACAACCTAACCCCCTAATTAAACCCCAAACTCTCAGACCCTCCAAGTTACCGAGGAAAGCTTGAAGTGTCAGCTCACCAGTGAGGGACTGGATCTTGGGCATCGAAGCTCGAAGTTATTGGAGCCTGAATCTACGCTATGATGACACTATGGTATGCCCAAATATACTGTAAATACACTTTAAACAGAATACAAAAAAGACGCGATAATAGACAAGAAGTGAGCTAGAAATATGCTACAAGTATACTATACGTACAAGCCAGTCATTATTGCAATGACTGCAGCAGGCCTCGAAGATTGAATCGCTGGCTTCGAACAGACAGTGCTACTACAGCAAGCTGTCACGGAACTGTCCCAGATCGGCATACAGCCGATATAGAAGCCTAAGTATTTACACACCGTGTTCCTTAGGATTCCATATATGTATATATGTACATACACCCCCAAACCCTGTTCTAGGTATTAAGGCCCCCTATAGTACCTGAAACCTCCAAAGCTTGGAGACCTGCAGCCGTCGACGTGACTTTTTGCTTTAAGTGTGCAGCGCGAAGAGCCTTGGTGGAGCCCACGGGTCTGGCAGTCTGATTATACTATTATTATTATTATTATTATTATTTCTGGGTTTAGGGTTTACAAGCGTTTAGGGTTTAGGGTTTAGGGTTTTGTAAGCGTTCCGGATTTAGGGTTTAGGGTTTGGAAAATATTCCGATTGTTCGAAGTATTATTAGCATGGGCATTGCTATTGTTGATCTTGTTAATTTTTCCTATTAGCGATATTATCATTACTATTAACATTATTCTCATACTGCTATGGTTATTAGTAGTGTTAGCTGACTTCTGGTTGACGAGTTGTACACGACTTTGCATGGGTTCAGGGTTTAGGGTTTCAGGGTTTGGTGTTTAGGGCGTATACGCACCAGGGCATGGGCTTAGTAGTGGTTGTGAGGTTCGGCAGTTTGTTTCGAGCTTATGAAGATTGAGAGCTTGAGTCAGATTCGCAGCCGCAGACGGACTCCCTCCCGGTCTGCAGGATGTAGGAGATGGTGCCGGAATCCTTTTGTTGCTTTGGTACAATATCTATCGGCGGTTTCTCCAAGCAGCAATAGCCCGCAAACCATGACAGGCCTGCCATGATTACAGCTACCCACGTAACTTGCAATCCCAACTTAAGATCCATGGTATCAGAGATGTAGCCGATGATGGGTGGGCTGATCACGTCACCGAGGACATGGCCCAGCAAAATCTGTAAGCTTGACCCCCTCGCACGGCTGTGGACTGGAATCACCGACATCGAGAGCGCGGCGATGGGTGCCTGGTAGCAGAAGAAGAACATCTCACCCAAGATAAGACAGACCACCAGACACCATGTCTCCAAGTGGTTCACTGCCACTGCAATGAGTATCGCACTTGGCAACATGAAACACGCGGGCACGAGAAAGTAGGAACTGCTGCCCATGCTGAAGCGACGGGCAGCACTGTCGGCAACCTTTCCACCAAGGACGGTGCCACCGATACCGCTCAAGACACAGCTGCCGCTGAGCACCAACCCGGACTGTGCTTGCGAGAGCTCAGAGTAGCGCACGAGGAAAGCCGGGTACCATTCTGTGAGGCCTCCAAGTGCGAAGGAGATCGCCACACTGCCCAGGGTGGCGGAGAGGAAGAAAGGATTTCTCAAGAGATCTCGGCCCTCTCTCAGAAAGGCACAATCCCAGCGCTTCGGCTTTGACTGCTCAGAGTCTTCGTCCGTGGACTCCGGGTGCGTGGGGTCCTCGATCTCGTCGTTGATGCCCAAGGGAGGATCGTTCAAGAAGAGAACGGAGGTGGCCACGAGTATTCCTGGAAAACCGCAGGCGAAGAAGGCAGTGCGCCAGCCCAAGTTCTGTCCCAGTGTCGAACCCACACCGAATCCTAGAGCCGCCCCAACCGGTGCACTGAGACTGAAGATCGTGTAGGCACGATTGCGCTGGGGACCTGGGAAAAAGTCTGCAATCATCGGCGACGCCACGGTCGCAAAAGAAGCTTCCCCAACACCCACTAATGACCGGAAGAGAATCAGCTGGGTGAGGTTCTGTGCGAAACCACCCAAGGCTGTGGCCAGGGACCAGAAGCCAATGCCACCTGCGAGGAGAAGCCTTCTGTCCACACACTCCCGATCAGCAAGCAGTCCGAACACTAAGCTCGCCGCAGTGAAAACGGCGGTCATAGCCATGGAAGGCAGAGCACTCTCCCAATCAGACAAGCCAAGGTCCTTTTCGATCTGCAGCTTCACCGATGCGGGCACATAGCGGTCTGCCATATTCAGTGCATTGATGCAGGACAAAGTGAAGAGCGCTTGGCGCGAGCCCGGTTGCCGCTCCCCCGGCACGCCTCTCAAAGGAGGACTCAGGATTCCACACGGCATGGCCTCTTATTACTTGCACTCTTACTTATTTCCATTATCACGATTGATCTTACAACTGTTATCATTGTTATTGCTACTATTACTATTGCAACTGTTGTTATCACTATTACTATCGTCATTATTATTACTATTACTATCAGCACTCTGAATAATATTACTGTTCCTATTAGTATCATGTTGAGCGTAGTTGGACATAACCCTATGTACCTACATACGAGCTGAGCAGTCAGGATAACTTCCTGAACCAGATGCGGCCTGTCGGCGAGCAAAATCAAAAGCCCTTCTGGAGACTCGCAACAGCTTTACAGTGTGTTGTAACGTCTGTTGGGCATGTCATGCAATACTCCATGTGTCGAAATTCGTCTTTGATCATCATTCGGCTGTAGCACCGGTGCGACATGTCACGAAGTATTTACACCATGGGGATGCATGGAGTCTAGACAGGTCGATACCGACATAGACTGAGTGAAAGTTGAAACCACGGACCCAACAACTGAACACAGAATCCACCGGATCGCAGCCAACATCACCCACCGAATCATCCAGTGGAGCACCGACAGACCATGCCCTGAAACCTGGCAGGAAGCTCTTCCTCGGAAGCATAAAACCCAACTATATTGTGCTGTATTTTCCGAACGCTATTTTGGAAGAAACGTCATCCATTGGAAGAAACGTCATCCTAAAGCGGCAAGACCAAGCACAGCAACACTACCATACAAGTCACCCAACTTGCCCACGATCCTGAACCGCAACCGGCCCTACCATAGGGGCCTTAATAATTAGAATCAGGTTTGGGGGTATATTACACTATATTTATAATAAGGAGCCCCCAAAACACTATAGGAAATCATTCAAGCCCCTATATTAACCGGCCCTACCCGTTCCACACGAAACCGGCCAGTGCCTTGCTTTGTTGTCTCCCGGCGGCTCCCTTGCAGTAGCGCTCACGATTCGAAATAAAATATACTTGGGAAACAGGGGGGACACGCTGGAGATGCTGTATGTTACATCGGAAACACTAGGGCAGTATACTTCCAGTCAGGGTATTTGTAACTCAAAATTCCAGCCAGCTTACTATGGTGCTCTAATCGCTCTACTCCGACCGGGAAGGCTTCATCTTCTCTTGTCTTTGAGAGGGTTGGAGGCCTCACAAGGTGGGATGAAGGTAGGTTTAAGGATCCCTTATATAAGGACTCTTACTTGGGAATATCCCACCTACCTTCATCCTACCTTTTGAGGCCCCCGACACAAGACTCTGGGCCTCTGGGCTACATACGGTTGATGAATGATATAGATCCTAGGGTTCCTTTAAAGGGAGCTATAGGGGTACCTTTAAGGGGTTCTTTTAAGGGATCTATAGGGGTTTTAGGGTTTAGGGAGATAAATCCTGCATCACCCATAGTAAGGAATAGACCATTACTCCCATAGTTTAGGGTCCTTAAGGTAATGCAGGATTTATACCATCAAGCCTAGTCAGCCACGGCTTGTGCAGGAATGAGACCGTGAACCATTGAGGCCCCATTAAGTAATTGCTCGTGTTTTTGATTTTGATGAGTTTACGGCTTAGGGCTTACAGTCCTGATTGCTCATCACTTCCGGGGAATCAGGCCACCGGGCGAGCATGAACAAGTTTGTAAACGTAGCAAACCTTTGCGCGGAGTGTGAACTGCAGTCCTGAGTATACCCTGTGTCAGAGTTTGCGGACGAGGGCTTCCGCCACTTGCCTACCGTAGCCCACCACCATGAGTTGGGGTTTCTGTATGCCCATCCGAAAGCTTGCCTGCTTCTCTGTTTGTAATCGTGGTGTAACGCACAGTTGGGTTTCTTCCGCGAATTTCAATGTGCTGTAGTCTGGTACTTAAGGTTCTACGATGGTACTAGAACAGATATGTATGTGTGTGTGTGTGCGTGTATGTGTGATCACAGACATCGGTACATATTCCTCTATACATATATACATATAAATATATATAGAAAAGACATGTGCACATACCTACATACATACATACATACATACATACATGCATACATGTAAACAAATGAACAAATGCATACATAGTAATACATAGATGAATAAGTGCATGAACAAAGGTGCGTATACATATATGTATGTATGCATGCATGCATGGATGTATGTATGTACGTACGCATGTATGTATGTATGTATGTACGTGTAAAAACACACGTGTACATAGCCTTATCTGTATAAATAAATGAATATATATATATATATATATATATATATATATATATATATATAGACACATCTATCTCCTGATGAGCAGCGATTACCAGCTCACAAGAACACGTAGACCCGATCCGCTTGCTCAGGTGCACCACCCAAAGCGAGAAGCCGCAAGGCAGACGTAATCATAGAATACGGTTTTGGGGTATGTCATACGATAACCATTCTCAGGAACGACCAAGATAGTATCGGGCAAGGGGCAAGTGTCAAGGCCTTTGTGCATTAGACGCCCCATCTGCATCCCAAAGTCGCCTTTTCCTTTTCCAGCGCGCCCTGGGGCCCTGAGATTCGAATTTTGGCAGTTTTTTTGGCTCAGGTCTCGGAGCCTCAGGCACTAGCAGAGCTCTTAGGGCCCTAGGGCGTATAGGGTTTGGAAGCAGGGTTCTAGCCAAAAAATGCAGGACATATACCGATAATATACCATAGCAATGAGGCACCCTACGAAAAAGATTGGTGCATGTCTAGGCCCCGATATATAGCTAGAACCATGGCATGGGGCTTTATGGAAAGGTTTGGAACGCTAGTTGTGCTCGTTGGAAGACTGTGAGCCTGTGTCGGATTGACAGCCACAAACGGAACTCATACCCCTCTGGAGGATGAATCGGATGGTGCCCGAGTCTTTGGGCTGCTTTGGAACGACCACCATAGGCGGCCTATCGAGGCAGCAGTAGCCCACAAACCATGATAGGCCTGCAACGAACACAGCCACCCAGGTCACTTGCAAGCCCAGCTGAAGGTTCGCAACATCGGAGATGTGGCCGATGATGGGTGGGCTGATTACATCACCGAGGACATGGCCCAGCAAAATCTGTAAGCTTGATCCCCTCGCGCGACTGTGGACTGGGATCACAGACATCGAGAGCGCGGCGATAGGTGCCTGGTACGCAAAGAAGAAGGTCTGGCCCAAGATGAGACAAAAAACCAGAGACCATGTCTCCAAGTAGTTCACTGCCACTGCAATCAGTACAGCGCCTGGCATCATGAAACACGCCGGCACCAGGAAGTAGGCGCTGCTGCCCATGCTGCATCGGCGGGCGACACTGTCGGCGACCTTTCCACCGAGGACGGTGCCACCGATACCGCCAAAGACACAGCTGCCGCTGAGTACCTGCCCTGAAGCCGCTTGCGAGAGCTTGGAGTAGCGCATCAGGAAGGTCGGGTACCATTCTGTGAGGCCTCCCACCGCGAAGGAGATGGCCACACTTCCCAAAGTCGCGGAGAGGAAGAAAGGATTGCTCAACAGCACCCAACCCTCTCTCAGGAAGGCACAATCACGTCGCACTGGCTGTGACTCTTCAGAGTCATCATCGGAAGACTCCTC